GACTTCGACAAGCAGTCGAAGAGCATCCGTATAGATTTACGGTACATTGTTACAATCGTTTATATTCCAGCAGTCAAAAACTGATAGACTGCTTGACTATCGGCGAATCTCCATACTACCTTCTACAGCTAGACGTCCGGCACGTTCTCGAGCAGGAAAGCACGTTATACGACAGCGGAGCCAATTCCGGATCCAAGATGGAAGATTGAAGAAATTCAGAGGCTAGGATTTGAGAGTGGAGAGAAAAAAATATTTGGAAATGTTTAGGGAGGAGGAGAGGATTCAGAGATTCAGGAATTAGGAAGGTTAAGAAAAAAGGAGGATACAAGGTTTTTGGGTAGGGGCCAGAAAAGGAACTTCGGGCGATCAATGTTCAAAGGTCGATGTGTTGTGCTGGTAAATCGGGGTTTTAATGAAGTGGGTGTGATTACTCTTGACTGTTTTATAAAATCGAAGTTACGTCTGTGATTAAAGAATTAAAAAGATGTCTATAGGATTGAGTATGTGGAGTGAATGAAAATTTTTGGGATTTGCCAACTACTATTGAATCTTTATCAAGGACTTCTCTCGAGTTGCAGCTCCACTTACACATTTGACCTTTAAAGACAAACTCTAATGGAATCAAGAACCGGAAGTTGTTTTTGAATCTTTGAAAATAGCGTTTGTTTCTGCACTAATCTTGTATCGTGTTGATTTTTCCAAAGCATTCTTTATGGAAACATATGCATCAAAGTTTGCTCTAGGTACGGTTTTATCACAAATGGAAACAGATGACAAACTTCATCCAGTAGCCTTTCATTCAAGAAAATTCTCAACAGCAGAAATCAATTATGAGATCCATGACAAAGAACTTCTTGGAATCGTGGATTCTTTTCAAGAATGGCATCATTATCTAGAAGGCGCTTCCAATCCAGTCACCATGTATACGGATCACAAGAACCTCGAGTATTTTATGTCAGCATGCATATTAAATCATCGTCAAGCTCGTTGGAGCATGTCTTGATCAAGATTCGAGTTCATCATCACTTATCGGCCAAGAAAACAACAAGGTTTGTCTGATGCCTTGTTTAGACGTTCTAATCTTGCACCAAAAGAAAGAAATGCAGCTTTTGAGTAACAAAGAACGGTTCTCTTGAAGCTGGAGCAATTTCATCTTCGAGCAATAAAATCAACATTGATTGTTGATTTAACTTCTCTTAAGTAAGTTCAGTTAAGTATGTCTTCAGACCCTCTTGTTCATGATATCAAGAATAATTCTTTTAAATCTCATGATCTCTCTAAATTTGAATTCAAGAACAACCTACTCTATTTCGAAAGACGCCTATATATTCCAGAAGGAGAAGTACATTTACGTATTCTTCAAGCTCATCACGACTTTCTAGCAGCAAGATATTTTGGATAGAATAAGACTTTGGAGCTAATATCTAGGGATTTATGGTGGCCTCAAATGTGGAAGGCAGTCAAAGATTTTGTACAATCATGTGATGTTTGCTCAAGATCAAAAACTCCTCGTCATCAACCTTTTGGACTTCTTTAGCCATTACCCATTCCAGAATAACCATAGTCTTCTGTTTCTATGGACTTCATCACAGATCTTCCAATCTCAGGTTCTTATGACTCTATATTTATGATAGTAGATCATTTTACCAAGATGGCACATTTTTTACTATGTACAAAATCTATCACAGGTGAAGAAATAGCTAAGCTCTTTCTTGACAATATCTATCGCTATCATGGATTACCCAAGGATATTATATCAGATAGGGGAACTCAATTTGTTTCAAGATTTTGGCGAACTCTTTTCAAGTTTCTAAAAGTGGATATAAAACTATCTTCGACATTCCATCCTCAAACTGATGGACAAACGGAGCGTATTAATCAAGTTTCGGAGCAATATTTAAGATGTACCATTAATTACCAACAAGATAATTGGACAACTCTTTTGCCATTAGCAGAGTTTGTTTATAATAACATGGTACATTCTTCTACAAAATAAACACCTTTCTTTACTAATTATGATTATCATCCACGACTTGATACTCTTGACTTTTCAAAAGTTGATAATCCTATTGCGAAAGATTTGGCAATTCATTTATCAGAGCTACATGCAACGATGAAGGTGCAGTTAAAAGAGGCTCAAGAACAACAAAAGGTCAATGCAGATGTCTATCGAAAGGAACAACCATCATTCCTCTTGGGTGATAAGGTATGGCTACTTCGTCGTAATATCAAGACCACTCATCTTTGTGACAAGTTGGACTATCAAAGACTTGGACCATTTTCTATTTCTGCACAAATCAATCCAGTTGCATATCGTTTACATCTATCGGAGTTAATAAAAATCCATCCAGTATTCCACGTGTCTCTTCTTGAACCATACAAGATAGTGGACATACCAAGAAGACGACAAGCTCCACCTCCTCCTATAGAAGTGGACAATAATGAAGAATTTGAAGTAAAAGAAGTCTTAGATTCAAGGTGGCACCAAAATAAATTGGAATATCTTGTTCATTGGCGCAGATATGGTATTAGTGAACGCACATGGGAGCCAATAAAGAATCTTGCAAATGCAGCAAAGGCAATGGAGGCTTTTCATCGACAACAACTATCAAAATCAAGATGAAAACCTTCTTTATAAAAGAAACAACATCTAGGCAAGATAACATCCTACTTTGAATCCTTGTTCATAGCTTCTTTGTAGTTGTGATGCTCAAGAGATGGAGAACCAACAACGAGCGGATTTGACTCAAGAGCCTTCATTTGCTATCCTATCAGACGAGACATTACGATTGTCACAACCTTCAAGACGATGCAATCGACATGAAGATCTTCAAGAACAACATGTTCTTTCTCGAATAGATGGCGAGATACAACGCGTTTGGTATCACGATTTGGGAAGGGACTCCCGATGTTTGGTGATTTTACTAGAGGTAGAAACAATTCTTGATGGTGTTCCAAATCTTCTATTCGAAGGAAGTTATGAAGGCCTCAACAATGATCAAATAATTGGGTGGTCTTCCCGCCCTGGTATGGGACACTATCGATGGTTGAGAGGCCCTATTAATCATCTTCGAAGAGAACAAAGATCAGAGTATGTGGCGAATACAATTCGTTCCATTATAGATTTCTTCAACATATGATGACTGCTCCTTGTGGAACTTGTCCCTAGAAAGGGGGGTAATGTCATAGACATATTCATGTAAGCTAGTAATTACATATACAAATAGGTGGAAGTAAGTAAAAGTAGATAAAAATAAGTTAATTCTATAGTATTTAATATAGAAGCTTTCTAAAAGCTTCATAGATGCTGCTTTGACTTCATAGGTATTTTTAATTGACTTTTTGGATTAGAAACGTGGTCAACTAGTTGGCCATGTGCCACACATGTTGTTAGCTTGAAGATCAAGCTAATTATGTGGCCCACACGTAGAAAAACTTGCCTTCTAAGTCAAGGCATGTGTCCTACAAAGTCAACACATATTGGAGGTCCTATAGAACGTCGCCACGTAGCCCCTAGTTAGATAGTATATATAGAGACAAGAGTGAAGCCCTCTTCACTCTTGTCAACTCCTTTCTTGCTGCTAGTCTAGTTTCAAGGGTCTCTAGTTTTCTTGTCTTTTGGCAATAGCCATTCCAATTTCTCTTTCAATATACATACTTGTTTATTTAGATTTTGTTACCTTTCTTCAAGTGAAGGTTCACTTGTCTGAATTTCTTTTTATCGAGTTCTTGTCCTTGACATCCCGCTACCAAGAGAGTCACAAGCTTTAAAGAGATTCTTGAGATAAAAGGACTAAGCTAAGAAATTTTGATATGGCACAAAAAGGTTATAGTGCTTAAAGACACATATTGGAACTTATTATAGGATCCATTATTAATAAGTTGTAATATTATCAAGAATGGTAGCATCAATTGCCACTTGAAAAGATGGAGACTTTCCAACATTGTCAAAGTTGCTATAATAGAAGGTTATTCTTAGCATGTACATGGTGTTGCACCATAATCAATGTTCAAAAAACATGTCATTGAAAGGCAGATCAATAAATATTTTAGTGAATGTTTAGTTGATGTAAGGCATATTTGACATTTAAAAAATGATTTGACATAGATATCAACTTAAGCCTTTCATGTGAAATGAATTTTTTTTAATATTATTAAACATGTTGCTTAATTAAGATCCAAAACAATTCGTTTCTAAGATAAATCCATATGTATGATATTTTTATTTGTAAGCAATTGTAGCGTCAAGTATTGTTTTTTTATTTTAAAAATTAATTCATAATATTAATTGAGTTGCTTCAACAACAAATACTATTCTTTATCAAACTAATTAATGGATACTTAACCACTAAGTTCATATCTTAAGGACTCTATTTATCAAGATACATAAGATTTGGTTCCTATCTAAATAATTGATGTCTTCTAAACTCGTCTTCATTTAATATAAATCTCATCAATAGTAATCTATTGAGTATTTCTTGAAATTTTATATTTTAATGACAATGAATTTTTAATATTCCAAAATGTGGTGTATTTGTTGCAATAATTCATGCTACATATTTGTATTTAATGTACTTAAACTTTTACAAGTATTTTCAAAATATTGTTGTTGCAACGGAATTAAGCTCCAACACTATTTAATAAGCTCAATCAATTTGAAGGAAAAGTTGGTCTATTATCTTTTTATCTCTTTTTATTATTTCTTCTATAAATAAAAATATAAATCAGATTTTTTATTAAAAGAATTTTATGACATACCATTGTAAATGCATTGATATGTACTTCAAAGTCACACATTGTCATTGTTTGACTTATTATGTGTACAAGGACTGGATCCGATCAGAGGTGGATTTAATTTAATATTTAGACGTCGGTAATATTTCTGTTCTCCAGCCTACAAATTTTGAGGGCAGCCTCAGAGTCAGATAAATTCAGAGGGAACGAGGGAGAGACTTCACATGCTGGAAATACTTGCGAGCCCGCCCAAGAGCCATGAGAGGAAAGTAATGCGGGTACATGTGGTAGCGCAACATGTAGCCGCGACTGAGCTCGTTTCCATGGCCCGGCTTGGAGCTATCGGTGCCCAGATCGATCCGCGTGCCTACGACGTTGCCAGGGAATCCAGTGCCTGTGAATAGGCCGCCATCACTCCATGAGCCTGCCGCTGTGCGCGTCCGCACCAGATACTCCACACCATTCCTGATTGCGTCGTAGTACTCGCTGGAGTGGCGCACTGACACCAGTGCCATGAGTGCCCACGCAGTCTGGGACGCGGTGCTGGGGCCGACACCGCGCTGCTGCAGGTCGACGTACGAGGCGCAGGACTCGCCCCAGCCGCCATCCGGGTTCTGGCGCGAGAGCAGCCAGGAGCATGCGCGCTGGACGTACTCGGCGCGCATGTCCTCGCCCACGGCCTGCAGCGCCGGCAGCACGGCGCCCACACCGAACACGTAGTTGACGCCCCAGCGGCCAAACCAGCTGCCATCGTCCTCCTGCTCCGCGCGCAGGTACGCCACGGCCTTGGCCACCAGCGCGTCCTTCAGCGTGCGCCCCATCCGGCCCAGCGTCTCCACGACATGCGCCGTGACGTCCGCAGACGGCGCGTCCAGCACCTCGCCGAAGTCGCAGAACGGGTGCGCCGTGATCAGCTTGCTGGTGTTGTCCTTGTCGAACGCGCCCCACGCGCCGTTGCGACTGACCATCGCCGTGATCCACCTCAGCGCGCGCTCCAGCGCGGCCGTTACCCGTCCCTCCGTGTCGGGGAACCCGCGCGCGAGGCACTCCGAGAAGGACGGTCATGGCGACCGCGGTGTCGTCCACGTCGGGGTACATTTCGTTCTCGTGGTAGAAATACCAGCCGCTCGCCGCGACGGTGGGCGCAACCTTGAGGCTCCAGTCGCCGGACCGCGACCGGACCTCCTTGGACAGGATGTACTCCACGCCGCGCGCGAAACGCGCATCGCGGACGTCGACTCCACAGTCCAACATGCTCAGAAGCGTCAGCACGGTGTCCCACGTGGGTGACGTCCCCGGCTGGATGATGGTGCCATGCTCCGTCTCGGCGGCGACTGTGTCGAACGCCGCTACGCCGCTGCGCATCACCGGGTGGTCGAGCGGGAACCCCTCCGTCTTCAGCGCCATGAGCACAAGGAACCACCCGGTCGTGACCGGCCAGCTCCCGTCGCATTCCTGCCGCTTGAGAACCCACGCCACGCAACACTCCACGGCTGTGGCGCGGCCTGGCTTCACGAGGCACCGCTCCCCGTACCAGCGCAGCGCGTTGTCTACATGGCGGAGGATCCCGTCCAGGAATGATACCATTTTCCGACTGGGCTGCAGATCTCGTGACGACAACTCATTCTCACGGATCAGTTCGCGGCAGCGGAGATGCGCTGGGAGTGGGTGCACCGGGCGCCGCACGCAGAGAATGGCCATTGGCACGATCACCTGGCGAGCCCAGTAGCTGAACTGGTAGACGCTGAAGGGCGCCCAGTGCGGCAGGAAGATGAGCTCGGGCGGCAGGCACGGGACGTCGTCCCACGACCACTCGCCCAGGAGCGCCAGCCACAGCTTGGTGAATGTGCGCACGCGGTGGGAGATCCCGCCATGCGCCAGGATCCAGGCGCGCGCGGCCGCCATAGCGGGCTCCTCCACGCGCGCGCCATGCAGCTTGAGCGCGATGTAGCTCTCGATGGTGGTGTTAATGTCACCGGCGGGCGCTCCCGGGTAAATGTCCCAGGCGCCATCCGCGCGCTGCTTAGCGCGCACGCGGCGCACCACGGCCTCCGCGAGCTTATTCTCGCTGGGCTCAATCCCCAGGACGTGCAAACACATCAGGAATTCCACCTCCAACTGGCAGCACGACTCCAGCGTCCCCACCCAGTAGCCGCGCTCGTGCTGCTCCCGGAAGCTCCATTCCACCGCGCCCCTGATCACATCGTCAACCTCTGGCGCCGGTAACTCGGGCGAGTCCTCATGCGCGTGCCCCATTCCACACTCTGCCGCTCTCCGTATTTTTAAAGTGACCCTTGCATTATCAGAAGCTAGAGATTATACAAAGCTGGCGCTTATCAACTAAGCAAGAGTGGATTGGACCAACCGACTGTTTGCTTTTCGTGATGACTCCGTTCAAGTTGGCATTGATTTCAGAGCAACCTCGGTAATTTCAATTGAACACATCAGACATCATCGATGTATCCCATGAACAGTAATTAATCACATTCGCAACAAAGCCCCAAAGCCTCCTTCGAGGACAGGCCTACACTGGGAAGGCAACGTCCCAGCGGACCTGACCATCTATGGAGGTTGGAAAATGAATCCTGCAGTAGGGCCCGAGAGCATTTACCGTTACGAGTACCTACCTTTAATTTCCCGCATCAGCCCATGTTCACGACGACAAATCAGGGAGAAATGGATGTCTTCGCACAGAGATGGGTGTGAGCATCAAGAGCAATGACAGAACGCAGGGCCAGGGGGCACATCTAATTAGATGGCCAGCTGGTGGACGGGTGAGTGAGCTGCTCAGTAAATACTAAAGCATCCAGGAGAGCTGGCAACCGCCAGGGTCCTGTTTCTGTGGTGCTTTTGTAGTTTATCGAGTCAGTCGTTCCACTCAGGCCACATGCGGCTGGGCTAGTTGTACCTTATCTTTTTATGCGGCTGGGCTAGTTGTATCTTATCTTTTTATGGCAATGAAGGTTTATTTTTTATTTTTTATCTTTTTGAAGTAACGGTGGTGTATATTGAATAGGAAAAAAGTTACAACTCAGCTTGCTCCCTCAAGGGGTTAGCAAGGCTAAGAGTGAGGGGGTCAGATTCCACCGTAGTGAGGACAGGCCCCCTGAACAAAATACTGCGTTGTGGCACCATACTGAGTTGAACTCTTCACCTAATTCAGTTTTATGTGTTTCTCCACATTGGTTGTATAAAAAGGGAAAATATCACACATGCCCCTGAAATTTCTCAAAATATCAAGAATACCCCTCAATTCTTGATAACATGAAATCAAAATTCCTTCAAGTTAGGTTTATTCAACCTATGGAGATTACAAATTGAATTTCACCTATGTTTTTAATTAAAAAAATAATAATACTGGAAAACTTTGAGTATGCATAGATTATAGAAAATTTTAAAAATGCACTCTGAAGGATCATTTTTTTTTTGCCTTTTATTAATATCATTTTAGAAGAAGTGGTAGGTCATGAACTTTATATGTTTATGGATGGATATTCAAGATAAAATCAAATATCCATAGCTCTAGAAGACCACCATAAAACTTCTTTTATTACACCTGATAGCACCTTCATTTGTGTAGTCATGCCTTTTGGACTTTGCAATGTGTGAGTCATTAAATTGACTCACTAGTTGTTTCAAGACAAAAAGATATATTTAGAATGCTTAAAATCACAATATATGGCAAGTAGTGTAGAAATCCTTAGACAAATAGAAAATTATAATATTAGTTGCAAAAATGGAGTCTTAATAAGTTGTAGAAGCAATTATCTTAGTTGATTTAGTATTTATATTTATTATTGAGTATTAAAGATTATTTATTGAGATCAATATTTAAATTGGCTTTCTATTTGTATGTATTACTTATAAAAAACTATAAATGTTAGTTAATAGTTAAAAGAAGCATGAGAACGAATATCATGTCTTTTTAATTATTTACATAGAAAGTAGTATTTATAATGGATTTAAATTGATTTTATTACTATAAAAAATTTTCAAGATAAGAAATTATAGCCTTAAAGTAATATTAGCATTATAAAATTATTATAAAAAAATTTAGAATTTATTTAGAATTTATTTAGAAGTTTTAGAGCAATTTTTAAGACTTTAATAAAAATGAAATTTACTACTTTGGGAGCTATTATGAAGAAATGGAGCAAGATTTAGAGGCCAAACAAGGTTTCTAGGCTAATTGGATATTTTTGAATAGCATGGTGAAGTCAAAAATGCAAAAATATTGGATCTTCTAGTAAATAATAGGAAGACTAGTAGCTAGTATAGTCCTTATAAGAAAGAAGGTGCACAAATCCCATGTAAGTTGTAGCACCTTGAAAGTAGTTAGGAAGATAAGACTAAAGCTTTGTGGCTTCTTTTAGACACTCATATATACTACATATGAGTCTTGGTGAGGCTTAAACCCTTGATCTATAAGCAAATTATCCTTGAAGTAAAATATTTTCACTTAATTTATTAAATTTATTTACTTATTATTTTTAAACCTTCATAACTTACTCATAGTAATTTGAATTTACATATTTCTTACATCATTGAAAAGATAATAAAATTATATTTTAAAAAATAGATTTTTAAGTTTTATTTTTATTTTTTACTAGAAAAAAACTTAGTGAATAAATTATGACTAAGTTTTGGATTATGTAATTGCTTGATTTTGTTTATTTTATTTATTTTGTGTTTTTTTTAATTTTTTAATTTTTTAATGTTATTTATTTCCTTGACTTTATACCACTAATTACAAATAATTCTTAATTGAAGTCATCCTGTAATTTGGATCGAGGGATGAAATTTAACTTCACATTTTGGTGAGTTTATTAAGAGGTGGTGCTTCTCATTGTGTGTGTGATTGTAGAGTTAGTTAATTGTGATTGATCTTTTAAGCAGACTTTTTAAAGGAGTCTTTTAAATCTATTTTCCATCATTGATAAGTCTCCTATCTCTTTTTTATTATTATTATGAATAAATCTCTTTTAATTCATAGTCAAAAGATATTAAAAAAAAAAATCATAGTTAGATATAAAGTAATTCAAACTTGGATTTTCATCAATTAATTTGTTCAATATTTTTTATTTTATTTTGAAACTTTATAAGATTTTTTTATCTTGATGTTATATTTTTAAAAAGATATTATATATTAAAATTGGACTAAAATTGAATTTTTAATAAATTTTTGATTAATAGAGGATTCACTGCCTTAATAGTTTTATTTAGTCCATGTTTAAAAAGGTATTTTTTAGTGCTGGTTGACTATTTTAAATTGAATTATTTTAGAATATTATTTTAGAATAAGATTTTAAAGAATAAGCTTTGAGTAGTATAATTTTTATTGAAATTACATTAATACTCAATTTTTGGCAATTTTTTGAATAAAAAAGAAGCTTCAAAGTTCTAAAGATTCATCATCAAGGGTGGAACTTATCTACAAGGATATTCACTATCCTTGTAATTTTTTAATTGAGGGCCTTTCTCTAGTAGTAGGGAGATTTAATCATTTCTTCCATCCTTCATATCATTTCTTTTCATTTTTGTGAATTTTCAATTGAAGATTTTTCTCTAATCATAGGAAGATTTAATTACTCCTTTCACCCATTATATACCTTCTATTCATAGAAAGTAGTATAGAAGAAGCTTAATAAGAACTTCAAGAAAATTCTTCATCAACAAGGAAAGAAGAAGATATTTTAAAAAAATAGATAGAAAGAATTTAAAAAATAAATAAAAAGAAGAAAAGAAGAAAAAAAGAAAAAAAAATATCAATAAGTTTAAGTCATAAATCTAAGATGACTATTCTTTTTAATAAAATTTATGGAATTTTAATTTATTTTTGTAATATAGATTGTAGTTTGAAGAAAAAAAACTCAAGAAGAAAGAAGAGTGACATTAATAGCTTAGAAGCAAATAAGTCCCTAAACCTTTGTCAATTATTTCTTTCTTTGAAATTTTAGCAAATTACTTAAACACAAGGAGTAAGAGCTAGGAGTTGGAGGGTAGAATCTAAAAAGAAGATGAAAAAAGAAGTAACTTTTTAAATCTTTTTATAGAATTTTTTTGAAATTAATAAAACCTTAGAATCTTATTCTATTTCAATTCAAAATTATTTCTTTTTAAACCGTTTTTTTTCAAATTGGATAGAAAGAAGTCTACATTGGAATTTCTTTAATACATGCTAAGTTAGCTAAAAATACAATTAGGTGAGTCTTTCTTCAACATAGTGTCATTGTCTTACAAAGAAAAATTTTTGTCCTATAAATAATTATTGTTAATTATTGCAATAGGAAATATTTAATAGTCTTATTGTGAAAAGATAAGAAAAAAAAAGCTTGAACTTCTTGCCATCTTGATATAGAATTCTTTTTCACAATTAAAACTACATAGGATCACTCCTACATATGATAGTTCTATACAATAATTAAAATTGAGAATAATTTTTCTTGAGGTGATATTCAAGCAAGCACTTATCATTTAGTTTTTTCTATTTTTTTTCTCTTCCTTTTTGGAAGGTACTTAAATAGATTGCATGTAGAAGAGCAAAAAATTTAATTTTTTTGTAAATTGAGTAGATTAAAAATTGTGCTAAATTTAATGTTATGTTTATAGTTGTATAGATGCATTATTATACTAAATTTAAGAAATTCAACTTATCTTCATCCATAGAAAATCTTGAATCTATTAGCAAAATAAATAAATCAAAGCTCAAATGAGTAGAGATTCAAAGGCTAGACAAGCAACTTCCAACTCCAACATTAGAAGACGTTTTTGTTCTAAATTGATTTGAATTAAATCTAAAGAAATTAGTAAAAAAAAAAATAAGTTAGATCTTAACTCTCTTAATTTGATTATAGAGGTTAACTCTCTTAATTTGAATATAGAAGCTCAAATTCTAGATCTCTTGCTTCTATTCCAAACTAGCAAAATTATTAGCAAAATTAGAAAAGACTACAATTGTATATTTTACTTCATAGGAATTAAGATATAGTGGATTTTAATTTTCAATTCCAACGTTGAAAAAATTCCACCTAAGGCTTTAGGAACTATCATAGACATATATACTTATTCCAATAATTATCTATATAATTAAGTAAAAGTAAGTAAAAATACATAAAAGTAGATTAATTTCATAATATCTTTTAAAGAAGCTTTTTAGAAGCTTTGTAGATATGGTTTTGACTTTATACATATTTATAATTAAATTTTAGATTAGAAACTTAATCAACAAATTAACCATGTATTTCACTTGTAGATAGCTTATGAAACAAGTTAATTATGTAGTGCATACATAATAAACTTGCCTTGCAAGTTAAGACATGTGGCTTATAAAGTCCACACATATTGGAGGTCCTTTAGAATATTGTCATATAGCTCTTAGGTAGATAATATATATAGAAGCAAAAGTAAAGCTTTCTTCTTTCTTATCAAATTTATTTTTGTTGTAGTTTAGATTTAAGAGTCTTTAGTTTTCTTATTTTTTGGCAATATCCATTCTATTTTTTTTAATATACATGTTTTATCATGTCTATTTTATCATACTTTTATAAAAAAAATTCTCATTTGATTATTTGCTTTCATTAAATTTTTGACCTTAATAGATTGACAAGAGTGTACGTACAATATTAAAGCTTTGTCTTTTTTTGATTAAAAGATGATTACTCATTTCTCTTGATAAGACATAAGTATATTAGAAGTTGTGAATTATCTTCTTTAAACTAGTATTAGCCTTAATATTTTTTTTTTCTCAAATCTTTTCTTTCATTTGTCTTAAGCAATATTAGACATCTTTTCTTTTTAAAATATTATCATAACAGAG